CGCAGGTGCAGGCTATGCACCATCAGAAATGCACGATATGCCCATTGAGAATACACAGGATATTGCCCAGTAGAAAAGACGCAGAATATGCGCAAGTGCAGGCTATGCACAGTGGAAAAATGCACGATATGCACGCCAGAAAGGACGCAGAATATGTGCAGCACACAAATGGTGCATGTGCAAGCTATGCACACTCAAAATGCACGATATGCATGCTTGAAAATGTGCAGGCTATGCACCATCGAAAATGCATGATATGCAGTCGAAATATGCACGATATGCATGCCGGAAAAACGCAGGATATGCGCAGCGCAGGCTATGCACCGTCTAAAAATGCACAGAGTGCAGGGCAGGAACATGCATGATATGCACAGAAGCAAAGACACTGGAGATGCGCAGCAGAGATCATGCAAAATATGCACAACAGTTACAACTCACTAAATTCGAAGTAATTATTGACGCTATGTGGCCCAGACCAGCGGCTGGGTCAAGACCAACGGTCCAGAATGAGCTGAGACCATAGAATGTCCCTGCACCGTTGTTAGACAACGCCAGGAACCCAAAAGAACGAAAATATGCGATAATATCGCACCAAGTGCGATTAAATCGCAGGATTTGAACGCCCAATAAGAATGGGAGGGAAACCCAGTTAAGAGCAGAATTGAAGTGAAGAGGTGTCTCCAGCATGCAGGGCTTGGAAGACAGACTGCTGGAGTGGATGCGCAGGGAGAAATTGAAGGAATCGAGTGGGAATATCACTGAGAGGATCCCAGGGTTGAGAGCTTGGGTGGGAAGGAAAGGAGAGGGTGATGAGGGGTGGGGGATGTAGAGGGCATCGTCCTGATGTCAGAATTGGGTCGGAAAACATCGCTCTTGTTGAGCTCTAATTATAAAAGGAGGTCAAAGTACTCATCTCCATGGATGGGATGGGGCTATAGCCCTAACAATGCTCTCAAATCATCCAAATTTCGAAATTGAGATAGAATCCATTATGCAGAGATTAATGCAGACATTGAGGACTTCTGGGCGTTTCACAGTCGAGGAAAACGATGAAAGGTGTGTAGAAAGAGCGCAGAAATGGGAATTTGTCAAGGATGAGATTGCCGGCAGGTAGGTGGAAGGAGAGAGTGAGCTCACAGCCACCCCCTGCTCTTCGGCTCTCTCCCTCACAAGATGATGCATTGATCTCCCTCTCTCACTCAATGCATCCATTTGATCTTCTTGTTCTCTGCCTTCCTGATGTCATCCAGTCTCTTCCACTCTGTCAACACCTCTTTCCTCTGGATGCATTGAGTGAGAGAGGGATATCAATGCATCATTTTGTGAGGGAGAGAGCCAAAGAGCAGGGGGTGGCTGTGAGCTCACTCTCTCCTTCCACCCACCTGCCGGCAATCTCATCCTCGACAAATTCCCATTTCTGTGCTCTTATTACACACTATTTAATGCTTCTATATGACTGACTATCACCCAGAACTTGACACTATCTGCATACGTCTCTGTACACTATGGAATCTGTTGCAAGCTCGAAATTTGGATGCTATTTGAGAGTGTCTCTGGGCCTACACCCCAATTCCATGCATGAAGCTGAGTATTCCCCTCTCTTCTCACAGTTGGAGCTTGACATATACACTGCTCGTTGACTCGATCCTGGCATTAGAACAACACCATCTACATTCCCCAGCCTTCAGAACCCTCCCCTTTCTGCCCATTTCGAGCTGCCAACCCCCCCTGATCTTCTAGACAGTGATCCCAGTCCATTCCTTCGAATTCTGGCCGCCCATTTGCTACAAAATCCCCTGCCCCATACCCTGCAAGCTGCGAATGCCTCTTTGCTTCAGATGCACGCTTATTCGGGTTTCCCTCCCTCTCTCATTGGGCGCTCAAATCCTGCGATTTAATCGCACCCAGAGCGATATTATCGCATATTTTTGATCTTCGGGGCTCTTTCCATTGTCTGACTACGCTGCAGGGTTTATTTCGCGGTCAGCCCTCATTCTGGACCAGCAACAATCTCCCCCCCTGTGACCTGCTGACTGGAGCCAGGTTTTTTGCTTCAGTTCCAGCACTTGTTCGCTTTTCCCTCCCAGTCCTATTGGGTGCACATTTCCTGCGATTAAATTGCACCCAGTGCGAGATTATGGCATATTTTCGGTCTTTTGGGTTCCTTGTGTTGTCTGACAACGCTGCAGGTGTATTCCACAGCCACTCGTCATTCTGGATTGTTTTTCCTGGACCAGGCGTTGCTCTATTCCACATAGCATCAATATTTACTTAGCATTTGTGCATATCGTGCATTATTCGACTGTGCATAGCCTGCACTTGCGCCTATCATGCGCTGCGCATATTCTGCACATTTCCTGGCATGCATATTGTGCACTTTTTGACTGCGCATATCTGGTGCTGCGCATATTCTGTGCCTTTCCTGTGGTGCATATTTTGCACTATTCAACTGTGCATAGCCTGCACTTGCGTCTGTTGTGCGCTGCGCATATCCTGCGCATTTTCTGGCATGCATATCATGCATTTTTCGACTGTGCATAGCCTGCACCGCGCATATTATCATGTTCTGTGCATATTGTGCACATTTCTGCTGCGCATTTTGTGCGACGTGCACAGCCTGCACATTTCCTGGCGTGCACATTGTGCATATTTCGACTATTTATTGTGCATATTTCGACTGTCATAAGCCTAAACTTGTGCACATTGTGCGCCACTTCTCTAATGTGCATATCGTCCATTTTTGATTGTACATAGCCTGCACTTTTTCCGGTATACATATTGTGCATTTTCAACCGTACATTGCCCATCCTTGCGCCTATTGTGCACTGTACATATTGTGCGCATTGCCTGTGGTGCATATTGTGCATCTTTTGACAGTGCATAGCCTGCACATGTGCATACCTTGCGCTGCACATATCCTGCATATTTCTCCTGTGCATATTGTGCTTTTTGACAGTGCATAGCCTGCACTTGCGCATATCCTGTGTATTTTCTACTGTGCATATTGTGTCTTTTTGGCAGTGGATAGCCTGCACCTGCGCTTATTTGTTGCCTGCACCCATGTATATTGTGAACTGCGCACATCCTGCACATTCTCTTGTGTGCGTAGCCTGCACCCACGCATATTGCGCGCCGTGCATAGCCTACACATTTTCTGGCACGCATATTGTGCATATTTCGACTGCATATTGTCCATATTTTGATGGTGCATTCATTGCCTGCATATGCTCATATCATGCACTGGGCATAGCCTGCACATTTTCCGGCTTGCATATTGTGCCTATTTTGACTTTGATTAGCCTAGAATTGTGCATATCCTGTGTTTTCCTGCGGTGTATATCATGCATTTTTGACAATGCATAGCCTGCATCTGTGCATGTTGTGTGCTGTGCATAGCCTGCATATTTTCCAGCGTGCATATTGTGCATATTTTACTGACACACAAGTTGTGCTGCTTTCTTTGGGTGAGCCGGCGTTGTTCTGGCTGGGCAGCACATTTTGGGGTCATCCGCACCCCGTTGGCTTTGCGCCCTGGGCTCAGCTCCCACACCCAATCACACTACTGTTGTGCAACACAGTATTTTATTTGATGGAATGTCTGGCCAGCAAAGGCTCAACTGAAGAAGATGAACCTATCTTTAGTTGACTTTCAGCTCATTTGCAAACTCCGAATTTAAATCATATGTCCTTGAGACAAGAGTGTAATATGTTGTTGGGGTATGTCCTGGGACCAGTAATCCAGTTTCAATATGAGCATACATGTAGTCTGTGCCTTTCAAGAATAAATATACTCAATGTTAGGTGGTTATTCATCATATGATTGGCTGATCAATCTACCAATGATCCATGATGATATTGATGGTATTGATAGCATTGATGATATTGATGATCTTGATTTGATCCTGCGTGCACCTCCAGCACCTCCAAGGTCTGCCATCCTCTAATGTACTTGCTCTGTAACATCAATAACCAGACTGGGCAACAGAGATTCAACTACCCTTGATTCAGAGAGCGGTACTTTATCAAATTGTGAAACTGAAGTGCGATTTAGAGGTGCTAGAGGCCTGGAGGCAGTGGAGGCCACCTCTGCTACTTTTCATCCACTGTTGCCAGCAGAAAATTGGAGTAAAGCCTTGCATTTTTAAGGCTTCCTATCAAGTTGTAGACACACTAGAAAGCAACAGATTCAAACAAAGGCCTGCAGTTGTAAAACTGGGAGGGTTTGGAGGCCATCTGTGCTTCCTGCTAACATTTATCTGCAGCCCCACAGAGAGTGTCTCACACAGAACTGAAGGCTGGATTGAGCATCCAAAAATGTTGGGGTTGGAGAGCAGGCAAAATAAATCCATGCGCAGCTGAATCAAAATACTGCTCTTTGTCTTGCACCCTGGAGGCGGTGGAGGTATGTCATGTTAGGTGCTCCAGTATGTGTTTTTCAAGCTCAAGTGTCTGCCAAACCAACTCTGAGAGTCCTTAGAGATGTTTCAGCATTATCTGAGATGGTCTGGCCTCATTTCCAACTATTTTCACTGTTCTTGGAGGCCATGGAGGCTGCAGACCGCTTTTTCTGCTAAATTACATTATGGTGCCTGTACATGAGCTACTTGTGTGTTAAATCGTTCAAATACACAAGCTTACCTCTCTGTACACATGTGGAGTGCTCTAGTGCACAAACCAAGGATTTTATGCAGTGATGATGCTTCAACCAGAAGCAATATATACAGGGTTTTGTGAGCTAAGACACTGTCTAGGCCTAAATAATAACTACCAGAGCACATCAAAACAACCAAAAGCCATGTCCAGTGCACCCTGCATGCAGTGGACAAATGGCCTGCTAGGTACCAAATAGGAAGGCACCTCCAGTGATGGCCTCCGATCAGTGCTTCCAGGGGGTCATTTGATGGCCTCTGGAGGGGGCCTGGAAGCACTTTTACATAATGAATTGGAGCTCCCTGGGGTGTGACTTTGTGTCTACGATCGTGTGTACCTAGTCATGTGCCCCTACTCCTGCTCTTTGCTCGCTTTTCTCTTGGCTGGACTTTATTCTGCCACTTCTCCCCGCATCCTTTTCTCTCTCTTCCTTTGCTCTCCTATCTTGAAGACAGTTATCCGGTCTTCGCATTACTAACTTGCTACGGCTGTAACACAACATTCGACATGAAATACGCCCTCCTTGCCCCTTTCCTGTTCCATATTCTGGTGTGTGTTCCGATGGCTCACTTACTTGGATAGTCCACTGATACTTTGTTCTGTGGAGCTTACTAAAGCTTGCGTGAGATCCTTCCGAAATCTGATGACAGACCCCATGTTTCGCGGCTCGAGAAATTCATGGCCACTGTAATGAAGTCTTCTTTCCCCTTCGATTCGAGCCAAGCCAGGGAAAGGAAACAGTTTACGTGGATGTAAAAGTTACTCGGCCGATGGGTCGACGATGACATGCTAATTTTTCGAGACTCGGAGGTCACTAGAAAGAGACGGAATTACAAGACCCAGCACTCCCTCTTTCCCGCCTTATCATTTCAAGTGCGTAAAAAAGCGACGCAGAAGCATCAGATCTCTGCCAAGCCACTCATCCGAAACGCAACCGTCCTTTTCACAAACCTGAGCCTCCCGAGCATTCGAATAACGGTGAAGACGAGCCATCGCGCAGGTGCCCACAGCTTACCCGGCGAAGTGATCAATCCCATCCCGTGTTCCGTCAACTTGATCACCTCCAGCGCACGCTCGTGTCTCCATCGAGCCCACTCCAACAGTCCGCTATCATCTTCCGGCGCGCCGAGATGAGCGCTCAGAACGGCTCCCAGGCTGATAGAGTCGCGCAGGCCGAGACTCAGACCCTGCCCACCGATGGGACTGTGGATGTGCGCCGCATCACCGGTGAGGAGGACAACCCCTCCGCCGGGAAAGCGCTTGAAGTTGCGATCGGAGATGGCGGAGCGCGTCTTGTGGCGCGACGACCAGTGCACGGTTTCGATCTTCGAGCCTTGCAGTGGCCCGGGAGCCATTCGGTCGAACATCTTCTGCAGGTACTCGACATCGGGCGAGTGCGGCGGCGCGCCCATCTGCTGTGGGATCCCGCTGGTGATGCGGTACACTGGTTTGGTGACATTGGGATAACTTCCGTGGGGGATTTTGGCAATGATTATTGTGCTATTGTTCGCAAGGCGGAATATGGTATGAGGTGTGGTCGACGGGAGTGGCGCGGAGAAGGAGACATCGCCGAGCGCCATCTGCGATAGGTCGCCAAAGTCGCGTGGTCCATCTCCGCGTGGGTCTTCGAATGCGATCCCTGCGTGATGCCGGACCTGATGACAAGGTTAGATGAATCTAGCCCATGCGCAGGAAGACACGCCGCCTACAACTGATTGCGCCCCATCGGCCCCGATTACGTACTTTGCCTTGATGACTTCCCCAGACTCGAATGCGACCTCCAGCTTCCCGGAGTCGTCGCTACATTCCTTGACGGAAACGACTCTCAGTGGGCGGAAGACGTGGATCCCGAGCTGCGTCAACTTTTCGAGCATTGCCCGTTCGGTGCTGGATTGCGCGATGAGCAGGCTATACGGAAATTTGGTCTTGTCGGCAAGCAGCGAGAAGTCGGCTGTGAGCAGTAACGACGACCCTTCGTCCACCCCCAGCTGCCCAACCTTCACTCCCAATGGAAGGATGATGTCCATGCACTTGATGGTGTCCAAAGCCTGTGTGCGTGTGTCGGTAGTGTACAAGATCCAGATAAACCACACTGAACCTCCAGGGTCGCTGCATGGATCACCAACGAACGCGAGGCGTTTTCACCCTGCTCGATGGCGTCTACGACCACCACATCCTTGATGCCTTGGTGGTACAAGGAGAGCGCTGCCGCCATACCACACGGCCCCGCGCCAACGATGAGAATAGGTGTTTCAGCAGGCAAAGACATTCGGACGTGGGTATTCGTTCCACAGCGAGCTTGCCTGCTCTTTTAAATGTGCGAAACGGGCCGAATGGCTAAACGGGCAATGCATATGCGTCAAGGTACTCGACACAACAAGATTAGGAGAGCATCGGAGCAGAGCTGCGCTGATCGTCTGTCTGTTCGGCCAGTAATTGGTAGTCAAGCCGGCCATCGGTCACTGTCGACTGTGTCTGTCGGAAAGGGTACGAATATACACCCCAAAAGGGCCGCACTTGATCCGGGAAAGCAGTGCGGATCAGTCCATAGATGACATCGCTTGGTCCGGATAGTGCATTTTTCTTCACGCCCCGAATCCATGAGCCAAGTTATCTATATCATATCGGATTTCGTGCCTGTCGGTGCTCTAACGAACGCTGCAAAAGATCTAAGACACACCTCAGTCTAATACAGATAGAAACGAATGGGGTGCGGCTGTCCCAATTCAAGTAGTTCGAAGAGGAGTTCATCATCACGCTACCCGGACTGGTGTTTTAGTCCAACAACCTGGAGTGGCTGTGATCGGGTGGTGAAAACGCGGTCACGTGAGTCTTTATTTCGAGCGAAATCGCTCAAGCTGAGTTCGAGTTCTACTTTCACGCGTACGGTCTGGATGAGGAAATTGAATCGGAGAGTATTTTCACTACATGCCTCCTCGCCTGAGCTACCTAAGTATAAACATCAGCGACCGATGCTATCTTCTTTCTCACAACCATGCCCTACCTACTACTCCCGGGTTTTGCACACGAAACTTCCGGTCGGCGTTCTACTGAGCAGTTCAATTATGGCACTTGAGCTGATCTTATCCCCGAAATGAACTGCGATCCGTCAATAGCAACGCTGATCTGCACAGCATCCAGCACTGATGACCAAGATCCAGTCTTAGTAACTGAGCGAGTATCTTCCCAGTTTCCCTCCCCTCCCCGCAAAACCACCGAGACGTGGGTCTGACCAGTTTTCGTGCAGAGGCTTTCATACCGAAGCAGCCCGGTCTTAATGCTCATGTGGACGCGATGCATCCAGGCATTGGTTTGGGTGCACATAAATACTCGCAGGATGCTGGACGGCGGCGAGGAGCGCGTGGTGCGGCGGGGAGGAGTTCGTCGTCCAGCGCGGCGCGAACCACGCGTGGATCAATCGGGCGGAGGACCAGACGTGCAGGATTCTGTTTGTGAGCGCGGGGACGGAGAAGATCGTGTTGGAGGACGGGAGGGTGCTGGAACAGACGAAGTTTGGTCCGCCGCCGAAGATGCCTTGTTGAAGAGGCCGGTTGAGGACTTGGACTGCTTTGATCATTCGTTTCTATCTGTTGCTGTAGTTCATTTGCATCTCGCCAGATTCAATTGTTGCAGTTGTTGACAGAGACGGTCACGGTTTGAGCTTATTTGTTCGATCGCAAGAACGGCAGCGCTTCGACTTTGATTCGGCTGGCAGGCACGCTCGAAGAATCTCGATTTTCAATCTCCTTATCGCGAGTTCACAGAAAGTCCCGAGTGCTCTTACACTCCCGTGCACACATGCTGCCAGGGCTGTAAATCGGAATCTCATGTCTCCCCCATGCAGTGCCCCGGCGATACTGCGGCGCAAGCGATATCGACATCGAAGTCGATGCACAGCTGAAGAAATCTGAATGCCGGGAGGGCCATGCGTCGTGTCGGAGAGATGATTCTGAGCTGTGTGGGGAAGTCCTCGCGCTGATTCGAGCGCGGTGGCCTTGCGCCTGTTGTAGTGCGGAGTCTAGGTCGGGTGCTATCTTCGCTTTCGGGATCTCAATGTCACAGAAGCAGGCGTTGAAGGCATGGTCCTCCTATCGATAGCGAATCGTGGGCGGAGAACCTTTGACTCTCGCCCATCCGTTATGGCTGACGCGATCCTGCAAAGCCTGGCAGCTAGCACGCTCTTCGACCTGCGCGGTGTGGTTGCGGTTGTGACCGGCGGCGGCACGGTGCACGACCTCGGTTGAATACTGGATGATACGATCTCTGACGTGCATTGTAGGGCATCGGGATGATGATCTCCTCGACACTTGTCGCCAACGGCGCGACGGTTTACATCATTGGTCCCGTTCAGACCGAGCTTGATACGTGAGTAATGCCAGCGCATTCCGCACAAGACTCCCTTCTTATTTCGGGGTGTCAGAGTGTGCGCCAGCTACAACGCAGCGGCGGAGAACGTGCCCACTCGCGGCAAGATGTTCGGTCTGAAAGGAGATATCCGTTTCAAGGTACTTTGCCGCCGTTACCGTCGTGTCGATCGCTGTGCTAACGGAGAGACAATACCTGCGCAGACAGAAGCCGCGCGTCTCGCAGCCGAAATGGCCAAGCACGAATCGCACATCACAGTCCTCTTCAACAACGCGGGGATCCACACCGGCCCGTTCGCGCGTCCCCCACCAGGATCAACCGCACGCGACTACGTCGCCGCGTGCTTCGATGGCGTCTCGCAGGACGACTTCGACCGCACGCTACAGACCAACGCCGTCGGCCCGTACTGGCTCGCGTTTGCGTTCCTCCCGCTGCTGGAGGCGTGGAAGAGCGCGGACGGGTACGGGAAGTTCGTGCCGCAGATTGTCATGACGAGCTCGATCAGCGGGTGGACCAAGGACCCGATGACGGCCGGGCTGAACTTTCCGTACATGTTCTCGAAGAGTGCGATCGGACACGCGACCGCGGCGTTGGCCCACGAGCTGCTGCCGCTGGGGATCAGGGTGAATGGGATCGCGCCGGGGCTCTTCGCCACGAGGGTGCGTGTGTGCGTGCTCTGCTGTTGCTGTCTAGCTGGAGCGTATCCAGTTGACCACGGCGGCTGCAGACGAGAACGGCATGTCCGTCCTCCCCAGCGGCGTTGATTGGGGCTTCGAGATCCCGACGGAAGCTGGTGCTGGCTCGCCGAAAGACATGGGGACGTTGGTACTGTTTCTCGTCGCTAATTGGTTCGTCAATGGGGAGACGGTTCTCATCGATGGAGGGGTCAGTGATCGATCTCAACTTCTGCTCGTATGAATAATCTTCCTTCAGACGCTTCTCAAGCACCCATCTGCATACTGAGTACTTTCTGAGCCATTTTTCGATGGGCCATGACACGTGCAACTAGTAAATACGTACCTCTCAAGTCACTCAGTGACGGCGACTGAAAGTGGCTGTGATTGGATGGTGGTGCAAACGCGGTCACGTGAGCATTCATTTGAAGCAAATGGCTCTCGCTGAGCTCGAGTGCACTTTCACGTGCACGGTCTGCGCGAGAAGATTGAATCTGAGGGTACGCTCAGCATTTGTCCTCGCCTAAGCTACCTATAATTTAACAGTGACCAACACTATCTTCTTCAACATAATCAAACCCTGCACACCTACTGCTTGCGGGTTTTGGCACGAAACTTCCAAAAGACATTCTACTTAGCCGTCGAAATACGGCACCTGAGTTGATCCTATCGCCGAAATGAACTGCGATCCGTCAACGACGATACTGATCGGCACAGCACGCAGTACTGATGACCAAGATTCAGTCTTAGTCACTGAGCGAGTACCTTCCCAGTTTCCCTGCCCTCCCCGCAAAGCCACCGAGACGTGGTTCTGACCAATTTTCGTGCAGAGGCTTTCATACCGGAGTAGGCCGGCCTTAATGCTCATGTTGACGCGTGCATCCAGGCATTGGTTGGGGTTCCACATAATTAGTCACCGAATTCGCTCATTCCACAGACAATCTCCTCTCCCTCCCTTTTTACTTCCTCGAACTTGAACGACCGACGACAATGAGCATTTCATCCGTTTGCAAGCAATATGTCCTTCCCAAGGTAGGTACGCTTTGCGATTGTGCTGGGCGGCTGCTCACCGTCCCTCCAGACTGGCTCGATCGACAACCTCATCATCACCGAGACGCCTGTCCCCCAGCCCCAGGCGGGCGAGATCCTCCTAAAAGCGCACGCCGTATCTGTTCAATTCCGCGACCTCATGGTGATCAACAACACGTACCCTACTGGGTCAGGAAGACGCGCTATCCCGACGAACGTGCCCGCTCACATCCCATCCTAGATCGATCCCCAACCTGGTTCCGTGCTCGGACGTCGCGGGCGAGATCGTGGCGCTTGGCCCTGGCGTGACGGACTTCAAGATCGGGGACCGCGTCAGCCCCAGCTTCGTGGACACGCTCCATGGGGATGTGATCACGACGGATGTGAAGGCCAGCGCGCTTGGCGCGCCGGTGCATGGCACGTTGACGGAGTACCGCACGTACCCTACGCATGTATGTCTCCATCTGATCTCGCCGTCGATTCATGCTTATCTGGTGCTGCGTTCTGCAGAGGTTGGTGAAGATCCCCGATCACTTGTCGTATGAGGAGGCATCGACCCTTCCGTGAGCGGGGTCCTTTTTGTAACCCCCCCTCTCCGGCTCACTTTTACCTCACAGTTGCGCCGCTGTGACTGCATACAACGCTCTCATGGGCGGGTTCTCGCCACTCAAAGCCGGCGACTCGATTCTCGTCCTCGGCACGGGCGGTGTTTCCACGTATGCTCAGTCTAATCCATACAACTCGCGCATATAGTTAACGCAACGCGCACTACAGGTTCGCGCTGCAGATCGGCGTTGCGTCCGGCGCGAGCGTGATCGTGACCTCCTCGTCCGACGAGAAGCTGCAGATCGCAAAGCGCCTCGGGGCCGCGCACGTCATCAACTACAAGACGACACCCGCCTGGGAGGAGGAGGTGATGAAGCTGACGAACGGCCGCGGCGTGGACCAAGTGGTCGAAGTGCGTCGTGGTTATGTTGTTGTGTTTTCGGTCTATGTTGCTCATCGCGTGATAGGTTGGTGGCGAGGCGACCCTGGGCAAGAGCATCGCGTCTGTGCGCATGGGAGGCTCGGTTACCGTGATGGGCGGTCTGGCTGGAGCTGTGAGTGTGCTACCGTGCCATCTCCTATCCCTTCCTCAATGAAACAATCCTTAAGCCTGGCCAAGCCCCCGTGTCCATCATTCCTTCTGCGATCTTCAAGTCCCTGAAGCTCCGGGGCATCTACGTCGGCTCCGTCGAGCAGTGCGTTCTTTTGCCTCATTCATTACCCACGTACCTATTGATGTCTGACACGAGAACATAGGTTTAAAAATCTTGGTAGGCTGATGGCGGCCAACCCTGAGGTCACACGGCCCGTCATCGCCAAGGTATTCCCATTCGAGCAGGCGAAGGAGGCGTTTAAGCGCCAGAGCAGCCAGGCCCAAGTTGGGAAGATTGTCATCAAGGTGAACTAGGTCATGGGGCTGTAGGGTCGTTGGTTTGTAGGGACATTGTGAAGATAATTTGTTTTGGTTGAAATGGTAGTGCAGTTCAAAGCTTGAGTTTGGGCCCAAGCGACCTACTACGGTCTAATTAATTGACCCGGCCGGATTGTTTTGGGTCACGTGCTCTGGTTACAGACATTCCCAACACGGCTTGCAAGTCAACTGATGTATCCCACGACTCTCTTTCAGCAAATAATCAACACTTTTCCTCCCTTAATTTGGTCAATATTTCGTAGTTGATCCACTGAGGAAACTTTCCCAGCGAACAATGGTCTCAATTTGTTGGTGCAACATGTAATACACTGCAGGGACTTTCTATGTTCCCCCAGAGAACATGCCACACTCGCCAAATGATTTTTGTGACTAAGAAGTGTCTCTTTTCCCGCAAGGATTCCAAAAGAAAATCACCTTTCTGTGACATGATTTCAAGCAAACCCCTCAAGCTGAGTTCGAATTTTCACTTTCACGTGTACGTTCGGTGTGAGGGAACCAGATTTGAGAATAGAATCAGAAAGAGTCTCACTGGACCAAGGTATCTAAGCAAGCATTACATGGCTTTGTTGGCACTAGTTGCTCCATAATCCTCTCACAAAGGTTATCAGCATCTCATCATGCTCATTCGTCCTTCGTCCCCACTTCCAGTAGTGGATCCAAATGGGACTCGGGGTGTCGGTACGACTTTCCGACGCGGTCAGCCCACGTAAAATACTGTCGCTGCGCTCAGCTTGCTTACAACACGCAAGCCCGTGGAACACTCACTTGTCCGTAATTGACCGTGAAGTAGAGATGGTGCAGCGTGTGGTGGGCCGGTCCGTTGATCACCGACTCCAGTGCATGTCCGGTGATCATGTCCGAGTCGTGGATCTGCCTCTCGGCGTCAATGTCATCCGCGCTCCAAGCATGATGCTGACCAAATGCACTGACGAAAATAGCCCAGATTTGCACGAGAACGAATAGGCCGAGGTAGACGAAGCGGTTGAGTGGGAAGAGGAAGATGAATAGATGGTAGGGGACACTCTGGAGGTATCCGTCCATCGGATGGAATGCAAATGCGGCCCAGGGTGTAGGGACTGCACCCATCAGACTTGGGAGACCAACTGAATTCCCAGAAGAATGAGCGCACCGATCCACTTGTGGTGAGGCTTGTGAAGCACTTTGTAAATTCCTGGGATATGCAAAGCGCGGTGTATCCAATAAATCCAATAGTCGGTGAACAGCAGGAACCTGCACGTCATGTCAGTTAGGCCACATCGGGCGAAAGTAAACGGTGTCTTGCAGAATCGGAGAGATAACAAGATAGCCGAGCCCAAGCGACCCGAGTCCGCCATACAACTTCGAATACCCGCGGACCTCAGCGAGAAACCAGGGCAGCGTAAGCAGAATCATGCCCGGGAACGCACGTAAGCTCGTTTGGATCTCCAGCCACTCCTGGTTCTTCAAGAAGCGCGGATGCCTGCGCATGTCCTGATTGAACGCAAAGCGGTACGAGAGACCGGAGAATGTGAAATAAAGCAGATGTATGCCGACTAGGGTGATAGCGGAGAGGGACAAGAGTTGGCGGGGGATTGATGTGCGCGGCCAGGGCGCGGAGTGGATCGTGAATTTATGAGTGATCGTATCGTATACCGAGTCGAGGAGATACTCGTCGCAGACCTCGAGAACGAAATCCATGCCGCAGGCGTGAAGCTAGGAAGATAACGGACGAGGGGGATTGATTTTCATCTCACGGGACACAGCTTCGAGAATAATACTTCTCGGAAGTGGTGCCACTTCGAAATCGGAAGAGACCACGAGAGATGTGTTCAGTAGAACCGCAGTCATGACTGAATTACCAATCAGTTCGTCAGGGATCTGATCAAAGATCATAGATTACTGCACGCTCAACAGTCATTCACTCGAGGACATCGCGTGCGAGCTTCGGGTATCCTGTTCTCGGCGATACAGCTCCAGAGTCTGTGATTCTCTGACCACTTTCCGCAGTTTTGACAGCATCGAGTGAGCAAAGAAAGTATTCGGTGGTGAGCCCTTCTCGACCGTTATCGTTGAGGCTTGCGGCCAAGCCCCGGGTGCTCGTGATGACGCTGACTCAGCGCGCAATCATTTTCTTTCGTCTACCCACTTACATAATGATGCTCGTTGTCCTTGTCTCGCTCGCGCAAAAAAAACGCTGTTCAAACGGCACAATCGATGGACGGTCCAGTAACGCTCCCGAAACTCAAGCACGAGCCGTGGGACGAAGGTACGCTGGCCTGGAGCCAAAAGCTTGAGTGATATGGGTGTGTGACACGCGATCGTTTACAGAAGCGGACCGGCGCATGCCTCCCGTTTCGCGCGAATACTCCGAAATATACTCGGCACCGAACTACCGCTTTGCGTCCTCCGACGACCATAGGGCAAGCAGCAGCAGCAGAAGGAGAGCGGAGCATCTGGAATCTTCCGCTCTTCTCAAGCTGAAACCCGATCCCCAATGGGACTTCCGGGCAGACGGTGCGTCCTGGGCTCTACCGGCATTCTCAGTGCTCAGACTCAACTGCTTGCGAAGAACATCCTCGGCTCCCACCCATCCTGCGCGACCATCCGTATTCGCACTCGTACCTGCCTTCGACGGTGTACCGGTCGGACAGTGCGGCGCGACTCGAGACCGGTTCTCTGACCGCGCCAGGAACACTGCCGCGCACAAGTCACTCGCGTGACGTGAGCTACGACCCGGATTCATGGGGCCCCTACGCCTCCGACCGCACTAAACCGAGTCTTTGGGCAGAGCGGGATCCGCACGCCGGTTGGAGTAACTCTTACAATGGATATGATGCGCACCCTGCCAGGCCGCGTTCCCCGCCTCCCTTATACCCTCTTACAAGCTCGATACCCTCTCCGCCCGACTCCAACGCCTATGCTCTCCGTCCCACCCCACGCCACAGGCCGTGGTCTCCGCCTGCCTATCCGCCCGCGAGCACCGTCGCACCACCGCCCACGCACACCCCGCCGACCACGACCGCGAGCGCAACCGGGGCCGACGCGAACACCAAGACCTGCTCGCACTGCGGCACGGGCACGACGCCCCTGTGGCGGCGCGACCCCTCGACGCAGCGGCCGCTGTGCAACGCCTGCGGGCTGTACCAGCACCAGCACAAGATGCTGCGTCCGCAGGCGCTGATCGACGCGGACCGCGACTCGGACGGGGACGACGGGGACGCGCTCGCGCGCATCCCGGACGCGGAGTACACCGGCCCGCAGTGCAGCCACTGCGGCACGCGCCGGACGAGCGTGTGGCGGCGGAGCAAGGAGGGCGCGCAGGTGTGCAATGCGTGCGGCGTGTATGCGCGCATGAGGGGGCGGGACCGCCCGCTGAGCCTGAAGAAGAAGAAGATAAAGCCGCGGACTAGGCTCGTCCAGCCCGTCCAGAAATAAGTGTACTTAGATACCGCTATTTAATACCCTCACCCGTGGATACAGGAGTGATCACATGACCGCGTTCGCTCTCGACCCTCCCTCTCCATGGCTGAACGATGTGATGATCTCTGGTACGAGGATGGAGGAATCGACCCAGTATCGCCTCTCCCGTGGAATCCTCGCCAAACACTCGCCAGTCTTCCGTGACATGTTTTCGCTGCCACAATCCGACATCAGTCAACCCCCTTGTCGAAGGATGTCCATTGTTCATTTTCACGATGCCGAGTCGGATACGTCCATGTTCCTGCGTGCGATCTTTGAGCCGACGTAGGTTCTCCTCGTCTGCTGTGTCAAGTAGGTAGATGATACCCCAATGCAAAGCAAAGCTACTTCCTCCCATTCCCCTCGCCCACCAAATTCGACATCACCATTGCCTGCCTCTCCTTGGCCCACAAATACGACGCCGCATTCCTGCGCAGCCGTGCTCTTTCCCACATTGCGTGCCGATACGGCTTCCTACAGCGTTCGGTGGCCGATAAGCGCATCCTGCCGAGAGTGCGCGCGAGCACCTCTTTTCGTGGCCTCTTCCCCAGGACGCGAGATTTCGGCTCAGACTCGTGCGCCGCATTCGAAAAGTGGAGGCGACATGGTGCCTCACCGTCCTGTTCTACTCGATTTCGACGTCAGCCTTGAGGTACTTCTCGAGCCCGACAGCCTCAGCGCCGGGGGCGATCATCAAAGGCCAGGCCGCAACGGCACTGTGCGGCGGTGTGGACATGCTCGCGTGTCTGTCTGAGCCGGTACATAGCCGACCAGGCTCAATGCGGGCGGAGCAGGGTGCAGTGCACCGAGAAGCGGCTGGCGTACCTGCACAAGTACCGCGCTCGGACACGGGCCATGATGTACCATCCTCTGGGGATGATGCACGAGATGAAGCCATTTGATACTCAGGGCTTCTGTCCGAACTGCTCACAGCAGCTCGAGAAGGCGTGGGACAATGCCCGTCAGGCGTTCTGGGACAGGTTGCCGGCGATGTAGGGACTGGAAAGACTGATGGTCGATGATGTTGGAAAGGATCCATTTTCGGTGCGGTGAGACGCATCCAGATGGTCGAGATACGAAGCTGCGTACTCTACATCCACTCTCGGCGATCTGTGACTGTCTCTCACTTGACTACACCTTCTCTTCGAGCACGGCGGGAGCAATCGAGGGGTCAGCGTCTGCGGCCTTGCGGCCGTCCAGCCGCTTCACCTCGACGGCATTTTGGATGTCAAGCAGCCGGAAGTCTTGCACAATGTTCAGAGCGGAAACGTGTAGTGAGTAAGCACTGCACCTTGCACGAAGAACGAGGCAAGCAGCGGGAAGACGGCAAAGACGATAGCCGGGATGAGGAGGGTGTGCATCGTTGCGCTGTATGCCGAGACTGGACAGGGTGATGAGGCGATTGTCCATCCAACCTCAAATGACAGTCCAACTCACCCATAGCGGTGTATTCCTGGCCTGTCAATCCACGCACAAGGGTGGGAGAGCCCACGAAACCCGCGATCTGAGTGCTGTTCAGCGCCGGGACATACTTGGCGATCTCCGCCGGCAGCCGGTTGTTCCAGATGGCGCCCGCCGCGGCCGTGCCGACGACGTTCCCGAGCTCGGCCGAGAGCAGCAGCGCGGCGGTCGCCAGCGCGACGTCTTGGTGCGGCACGGCGCCTTGTGCGCCGATCTGCGACGCGAACGCAGCGATGCCGCCGCCCATGCCCTGGATGATCTGGGTCATCACGAGCGCACCCGTGCTCTGGTGCGAGCGCGCGTAGAACATGATCCCGATGCCGAGAAGCCTGGGGGAGTGTCGGTGGACGTCCGGCGGGCGTGTCGTATGCTATGCACAGGCACTCACCGGATGGCAAGAGCCGCAATCAGGGCCCGACGATAGCCCGTCTTGAATATGCCTGCGAAGACAGCCCAGCCGAGGCCGAAGAACTGGCGGCATCTTGGTTGGTCGTGCTCCTGGATTGGGGAGGGTGCGCACTCACGGTCAAGCAGAGAGACTGCGCGTTGGTGAAATAGACCAGGTTCCCGATATCCCATCGGGTCGTCGCCGAAACGAAGCCGTACAGCTCGTTGTAGCTGAGGTAGAACGAGATCTGCAGCAGTGGGGTCGATGAGACGGACCGACAAATTGCACACAACGCACGAAATCGAAAAAGTTGATCGCGCATCCCGCCAGCACGGTGCGGTTCCCCAGGACTCGCCACGGAATGACAGGGTGCTGTGCCATGCGGGCCTCCCAGAACACGAAGGCCGGGAACGTCACTGCACCACCGATGACCATCATGGCGGGCACTGCCGGGTTGTGCCAGGTCGTGGTCGCATAGGCGCCACCGGCCAGCACGATGGGGACTAGCAGCCGTTCAGTCAGGAGAGGATGAGTTGTGCATGCGGCGCACGGAAGACCAGGGCCAGAGAGCTGGCGGGGGATGAGTGATCGCGAGACGTATGTATGACACGTCGATGATCACGTACGCAGCGAGCAGGAACAACCCCACGAAATCCACCTCCGAGCAGAAGTTGTGCACCGTCGTTTTGAACGGTCGCGGCTCTTGCTTTGGGATAAGACCTTGAGCCTTGGCCCGACGTTGGGCCCACATCAGAGTGAAGATCTGGCGAACACGTCGAACGGTGTCTGCATGAAATGGTGCCCCACACTTACAATCGGGAGCAGAGCGGGGAGGTAGCAGATCGCGTAGATGCCATAGCCCCATCGCCAGCCAGGTCCACCGGCCGCGGTCAGCCTGCTCGTGATTTGCCCGTTCTAAAGAAGACACGGGTCATCGACCATCCACAGGCGGATTCGGGGGTACCCACAGCGTAGAAGTTGATGCTGCGGGTGTATTGCGTCGTCATTCAAGACTCTAGAGTCTCACACAAGACGCCAGAGGGACTCACAAGTACCAGCCGCCCGTCGACAGCCCAGAAACGATGGGCCGCCACCTGAGCGTGACGACGTCGGCGATGACGATCTGCAGCGCGATTTGCAGCCCAGAGAAGCCGAGCTCCCAGATGCACAGACCCGCACCGAGCCCGGCCATCGTAGGCGTCGCCGCGTCGACGACGTAGCCGAGGACGTAGAAGAACAGGGCGAGCTGGGGATCAGTTAGTTGTCGCTGACAACGCAGCATCGAGACATGCGCACGGCGATGGCCTAGAGGCGTTGTTAGTCGTGGGTGAAGCGCCCTCGAGCTCGCACTCACCTCGGCGCGACCTGCTGCGTCTGTGAGTTTGGCGAAGAGGGGTTTGCCGATGGCGAGGAGGATGGCCATGGCGCATTGGATGGCAGCAAACTGCTGGTAGTGGCCTGAGGAGGAGAGATAAAGAATCGCGGGAGACAGAGACAGAGATCGTCCGTACCAAACTGTATACTTGCGTAGCTGGAGGCGGGGTTAAGCTAGATGTATGGCTCGAGGAAGACGAGAGGCACCTTGCCCATGCCCAGTTGGTGCCGTTGTCCAAGATGTACATGTATCTGCCATGCAGAATGAGAAAACTCGCAAGCAGCATCATGCACCGAGTAACACGCACGACGCAAGCGCAATGGAGATGAACAACACTATCTTGCTCGTCGTGCCCCACACCTAATCAGACTTCCAGCTCTCTGCCATGACACAGAGAACAGGGGGAGGAAGCACGCACGGCCTGGATCGCCTCGACGCGGAGGACGCCGGTCTGCGTCCCGGGAGCCTCCACGAGGCTGTCGTCGCGCTCATGCGCATCGTGCACCTTCTCGTCGAGGGACATGCAGTATCAGTCGGTTCGGGGGTCGTGAACAGAGTGAGATCGCCGGAAGGGAAGCAGGGAAGCGAGTACTTTTCACACATCTGTCCCCTTATGTATGAACAGGATCTTAAATTTTGACAAGGCGTGATCGCGGGACCTGATTGGGTTATCTGATAAGCCGGGCTCCTGATGATTGAAGGATTCAGCCGCATTCCTCTGCTTGTGGGCTCTCCTACGATTGTCATTGTCACGCATCGTAGTTTCTGCTCCGTTTTCCCCGACATCCTTCTATACGCACGCAGAAAATCATACCGCCGACCGACTCGTGGAGGAGATCCAATTTTGACTTGGCATTTCATATCAGATTAGATTTTGATCATAGTGTATAGCCACATCATCGGGACCGAACAAAACCGACCGGTCCTTGGGCTGGAATTTCAGAGGCTCGGGCTAGACATCCGAATCACAAGATATACGCTCTGTGATGAGCGCAGAGCAATTCCAGAACTTAATCGATTGAGCATTGCCGCCGGAGATGTATTTCATCACGGAAACTTTGCAGCCCTCTTGCGTGATCGGCGCATTCACACGTGCGGTACGGCCGCCGCCACGTGTAACTCCCGAAATTCGAAATCAAAAATCTCCCATCACGTGCTATAATTCTGCACTTCTCATTTCCCACCCACCTCAGCTTCTACCCTGTATTGGACGTCCCCAAGGGCGTCTTTTCTCTTGGGGGCGACGCACATACCTCGTACGACAGCAGATCACTACGCACTAGCTCCGTTGCTACTGCGCAGACAGACAGACACGGTGTCTTCTGGGTGATATATTGCTCCGTCTCATCTCCGCGCGAGACACTCTCTTTATTTTCTTCACATTCTTTCCTCCCCACCACCCCTACCCGGACATACTCTACTCCCCAGGCCCCCACGACCTGTGCCCGTAACCCGTCGTATCCGAGGCGCAGTCGCAGCTGATTCACGCATCATCAAGCGCTAGTATGTTCCGTGCCCTTCCTTTGGCTCGGTCTAAATAGCTTTCAGACGCTTTCATCCGCCCTATCTACACCATGAGTCTTCGGAAAGAACGCTCCTTTGCTTCCATCGCAGCCCTCGCGGGATTCGGGAAGCTTGCGCCGTCACCCTCACTAGCGCAGTCCTCGACCAGCACTTTCTCTGCCTCCGATAACCACAGCGGGTCTGGTGACGAGGAAGAGGAAGAGGAGGAGGAAGAGTTTGTTCCTGCTGGTCTCGTGCGGGCCACGCTAAGGATAAAGAGCGAAGGGCCGTCGAAGCCGAAGGCGAACGAAGCGGCCGCCCGTCCTAGAGCCAGCCCCGACGATACCTCACCGCTCTCGTCCATCATCACGAAAATGGACTCCGATATACCTATCAGGAAACGCGTGTCGTCGCTGTTCCGCGCGAGCAGCAAAGGCAGCAAAGGCAGTGAGTCGTCGTCGTCGTCGTCCTGCGTCTCACACGCTCGGCTCCTTCCACTGACACCCCCCTCAGGTTCTTCGAAGATGTACAAAGTATCAGCAGCCGCGTCGCTACCCGATGTGCGCGCATCTCCCTCGCCGCCACCGTCCGCGCCACCCCCGTTACCCCCCCTCCCCTTATCGAACAAGCTTGTCAAACGGCCTTCTGTCAGGTCCAAGCCAAAAGTCAAACCAACGCATCAAAAGAAGAAGTCGATACGTGACGTTTGGAGTGCGCTGGCCCACGGCCGCCGCGATAAACCGCCCCCTCCCGAGCCGCGGAAAACGCCCGATTCCGAGCTGGAAAGGGACAGTAACGACGACGACGAGGAGATCGAAATACGCCGGCCGTCCGGTCTGGGCGATGCTGCGTCTCAAGCCGACTGGCACAGGGACATGGACGGCGGAGGACTGGACCCGTCGCCAACTGACTCGCCCTCGCAGTCCGAAGGCATCCACACCCCGGAGAAACGGCATGTGTTCCCAACATCATGCAGCCCCACGCGATCCGAGTCGGGCGAGGACGAGCATGAAGACGAAGAAGAGGAGGACATCCGGCGTCCTTCTGGCCTGGGACGTGCCGCTTCGATCGATTCGAATGAGCGGTTCTCGGTGGAAGCGGAGCGCTATGTGCGACCTTGGGAGCGGCTCGCCTCCAAGCCAAACAGAGGAACCTTATCCTCTAGCATCCTTCAGTCGCTGCTTAACATCCGGCCCTCGCCAGTGGCGCTGCCGGCGCTTCTGTGGAGGCGGATATTCTCGTTCCTGGATTCCGCCGATGTCTCCAGTGCTGCCCGGGTCAGCCGAGTCGTGTGCGACGGGGCACGTGCAAGGCTGTATGCTGTCGTCGATTTGCGGATTGCTGAAGATGAGATCGTCGGCATGATTGATGTGCTGAAGAAGACTCCTGATCTGGCTTCGAGGGTGGCGGGGTTGGTTTGTGCTGGGTGGCAGAGTTTTTACATCGATGAGGTGAGCAGAGCCACAAATGCCTTCGATCTCCCCATTCACCCATGTCTTCGCAGCTTCCGGAATTGCCAAACCTGAGCTCTCTGATGGTATTTCCAGACATACATGACGAGGGCATTGCAGCCACAGATTCCATACTCTCCTTCCTCCGAAATCACGCCACCCTCTCGCGAGTGGCTGTTGTTGGCGGGGACGACTGCACGGAAGAAGAAGAGCTGAGGCTGGACGGCGCCGACGACCGACCGTTTCTCCCCCGACTCACACATCTTCACGCTCCATTGCGACTGGCCAGTGTGATCCTGGAGCGGACCGGCGCATCTGCACCTGAGATGCCGCTATCAGAGACATCCTCGCCAGTGGACAAGACGCTGTCGCCTGAAGCGCTGTCTCTGTTGTCGCCCGATCCACCCAGTCCATGGAAGCTCCCCGGCTGGTCCCGGGCCAAGAGCGAGAGCACGGACCTGTCAGTCCTAGCAGAGCTCGATCTGCAGAAGAAGACTGTCCGGCGAATCCGCAGGAAACCAGCACCCAAGTTCGAGGTCGAGGAAGGCGGAGAGCCGGTCAAAGTCGAACTTAAACGCGTTGCTTCGATCGGGAAGGCGACGCGGGCGAGGACTGTCTTCCTGCCACCCAAGTTGGTCTTGCCCCTCGTTGTCCGCGTCGTTCTCGCCAATCCTATGTATGAGGGAGGGGGTTCGGTTGGCGGAGGTCGACTCGGACGCGCGATTGCCAGTGTTTTGGCTACCCGAGGATCCACTTCCGTTGCGGCTATCCACGTGCTGCTTGGCCCGAGGGTTGAGCGCCGAACTCTGGAGAAGGTGCTGCGTACGATGGGAACGGAAATCGAGCAGGAGGCGAGTTCTCATGTCGTGTTGCTGGAGGTCCGAGCAGCCGTTCGATTATTCGAGGTGTGTTACAGACCGGCTTCATGAGCAATCGCAACTGATAACACCTCCGCAGCTGAACAAGACCATCACATCTGTGCTGCCACTGTTCTCTGGCTTGCGAACCCTGCTTCTATCCTCATCTCAGACTCGGCCGGCAGCAACACCGCAGTCATTCACGTTCCCTCCTTCCTCTCCGAGCGTCCAGTCCGTCTACCTGTCTGCGCCATCCTCACCTGCGTCGGCATGTAGCCTCGACACGACATTGTTGGCTCCGCCGGGTCTTCCACGAGCGAGGACACCAAACTCGATGCTGGGCGTGGAACCATGGGCTTGGGAATGGGACGGGTGGGTTCTGCCTCCATCCTCGTCTCCGGCGGATCCAGACTCCGGGCGATCCAGTCCCACGGGCAGCGCATACAGCAACTACTCCCATCCGCCGACCCCCACGCCGGCGAATCCCGACCAGCTCACGGCTGAGGAGCTGGCTACGGTCAACGTGTGGCGACGAGCCTGTCCGAATCTAGACCGGGTCAGGATGCTTTCCGGCTTGCACTGGTTGCGGGAAAGGCACACCATCCAGTAGGTTCTATACACTAGATAGCTATTTTATTTGCTGTCATCTGATATTCGTTTGCTGTATTATACCTTGCAATGATATTAAATACATACCCTGCATCAGGGACTGGGTGTAGATGCCATCGAGTCCACGTCCATCCTCCTCCGCTCACTAATCGCCTCCGTACGCGTCGCGAACTGTGCTAACTGCTGCCTGGGACAGCAATGAGTACCATCAACGCACGCGTCAAGACAAAAAAAAAAGCCACAGCACGCACCGTTTCCGATCCCTCAACTCGACCAGCATGTCGATCACGTCGTCCTGCTCGCGAATGAGCAGCTCTCCGCCAGGCAGGTTCGTCGCGAGATCGCGCGCGCGCGCCAACGTGGTCTTGAAGTCGTTTGTCTGCCGCGTGTCATTTGCGTCGTGTGTCTGCCACCCGGAGGCGCGGCGGCTTACCGCGTGCAAGATGGCCTGCTTCGCTTGCGGGGTGAGGGGTCCGCCGTGCTCTGCTTCGGTTTGTGCTTGCGTGAGCTCGAGGACGGCGACGAGTTTCGGGAGAAGAGACGCGTAGAGAGAGGCCGGGAGAGTGGATGTCCCGATGGGTGGTAGGGCGGTTGATGCGTTGGTGTTCATGAGTGCGCGCAGTGGGCGTCAAGAGTTCTCGTGATGGATGATGGCACGGGAGACAGGAAGAAATTTGTCACGGGACTTGCAAGAGCACGTGTATCTCCCGTATGCAGATACATTCAATTTATACATTTTTATCGGACATTCACGAGAACAAACCGGAGACCAGTTTGTCACGCACACGGAACGTGAGTCAGTTGTGCACCCAGCGCGCTGTGGTTCACTACGCGCTGTCGCGCAAAGCATGCGCTCTCGCAAAGAATACATGAGGCCGAAATGATAACATTACAGCAGCTATGGAGAGACCCCAGGACTGGAAGGTCCCACTCCCTTAGATAACCAGTAATCCCTTTTGGTAGCAGAGGACACAGAGCTCGAGCTCGACACACGGCTCATCCCTGCTCGCTTGCTCGGAGGCTTTGTAGAGTCCTTCGCAGGTGGAGCGACATCCTCCTTGCCGACGTCACTGGCAGAGTCCGACGCGGCAGCAGTAAACGTCACAACACTGCCCTCGTTCCGCCGTCGTTTCTTCGACACGATTGCATATCTCCCCTCAGACGACACATGATTTCCCCGCTTTTGTCCGCCTCCTTCGTCGACATCACGCGGTGCGGCGATATCCGTATCCGAGTTCTGGTCAGCCTGGGCCCAAATCTGCTCAACGATCTCCTTGTTCTCGTCTGGTGTTCGAGTGCCATTGACGCTGGATTCCTTCGAGCGATCCGCAGCGGAGTCGAGACCCGAAGTCGAGACCGGTTTCTTGCTCTTCTTCTTCTTTCGACTCTTCTTCTTCTGGGGTACCTCTCCCTCCTCAGGCTCTTCCTCGGGTTCCGATGGTGGCCGCACTATCTTGCTCGTCACACCTAATGCCCGATGGAGAGCGCCGCCATCGAACACCTCCTTAATGAGTGTCCGGTTGTTGATCGTCTGCGACGATTGTCAGTCCGAGCAAAGAGCGTAGCGCGAAACACACAAACCTCTTGCGTGATACCAAGGATGCTCCCAAGGATAGTCAGATCCTCCGCGTCATATCGATCTCGAAGCTTGAGCGCCCGGCCGTGTTTTCTTGACTCGACGATACCCGCACGCAAGTAGATGGTGGCCGTGAGGACTTCGTGGGCACCGCCCAGATGTCGTCGGACGTTAGGAAAGTTGTACGAGCCAGCCGAGATGTCGTTGACTGGAAAGCGATAAGAGATGCTGACTTTCACGGGAACCCCCAATAGACGCACATGGATCCCCCGGGTCTTCAATCGACAGCATACCATTCCGTTTCTGTCCGTTCCGGAAATCCCATCCTCGCTGGCGCTTCGAGAAATAGGCGCCGCCTTCCCGAACGGAGATGCCGACGTCGTCATAGTTGAATCTCGTCCCATAAAGCTCGAAAAACTCCATCACCAGCACGCCCAGATTCTCATCTGGATCGATGAGCCCGAACCGGATCTGCGGGTGCATCTGCAGAAACGAGATGACCAGGCAGACAATCGCGTAAGACCCGAGTCCGCCCGTGAACACTTCGTTCATCCCTCGCTGGGACAAGAACAGCTTCGTCATGAGCACAAGTGCTCGGAGTGCCAGACAGTCGTTGCGGGCCGCGGCCCCTCCGCCCCGGATCTCGCGCAAAAACGAGTTGATCATCTCCCCCGCAACGAGGCCGTTCTCCTGGTTGATGCTGATGTCGACGTTCAGACGCCCATACTCGCCTGTCGTCACGAATTTGATGATAGGCACTTTGGCTTTCGCGATGACTTGCACCTTGTGTGTCAGCCCGCTGTTCCTGATGGTGGCAGCGAGAGAATGAAGGACCGTCTTCGGGTTGTGGTACGCCATGGATGGAGAGCGGATGACCAAATCGATGTCGCTGTGCAGTCACGATGAGGCAATACGGGTCATCCGCGAGATGAGACGCACCCAAGTGGTAGATAGAGCTTGGTCGCGTAGCTCCCGAAAGGCAAAACTTGAGCATCAGCGTAGGACCGCGTCACACACCGAGTAATGAGCTGCAACACAAGTCCCCGGACTTCATCTTCCTCCGGTGTCGGGGCAATCCATTTGACAAACGCCTTCACCTCGCGATGAAACCTACGACTGGTCAGTAAGCTGACAAAACCAAGTGAGAAGCGCGGACGCACATTTCGGAGGGTGTCTTGCACACGTCCCAGTCTACATCGTCCACCCACGGTGTTAGGCGCCCGGTCACGTCCGTGCGCTGTCTTCCTCTCGGGGGCGGGCGATCCTCGGGGTCAAATACCAGGTCGTATTTCCGGGCGCCCTCTGCACTTCCTCGACTCCCGGACGGAAGCGGCGGGGGAGATGTCGACGGTTCACGCCGTTCTCTCCGACTGCCACCGCCGTCTTCATCCCCAAACTGCTCTCTCTCTCTCTCCTTCCCCTTCCTGTCGCGTCTGGAGTGCGAGTCGCGAGCTGCATCCTCTTCATCCTCGTCGGATACGGGCCCCAACGCGATGAAGTCCGACCCGTCCGCAAAGGACGCGTCTGCAGTCGATTTTGTGTCTGTGCTCGCGATACCTTTTTCAGGCCTTTTAGTCTTGTGTCGGCGGGATGGAATCTCGACCGCCATCTAGTTGTGTGCGCGTTTATGTGGTCTTCCAGTGTGCCGCGGGTCAGGCGCGGGATAAAAATGTCGATATATGCGTTGTATTTGGTGACTCAAGCTAGTGCTGAGAAAAGTCTACGGTCGGTGAGATGACCGGCAGTCGCGAGTAGGGACGGGAGAGGACCAAAAAGGTCGGTGACACTGCCACATGTCAATCTCTCCAGTCACCACCACCAGCCTTTCTATCTTTGCCGATTCCACACAAATCTCGATAGCTGTCAGAGCTCGCCGAAAATACTTTTTTACCGCTCTTTCTGATTGATAAATTGCAGAATATGCGCCTGCGAATGTTTTCTAGAAAACAAGGATCTCAGGTTGACCCTGCAATGCTTCAACGCGCGACGACTCCCGCGCCCTAATTCAAACTTTTGAACTGCTGTATCATTACAACCAAAATCGGCAATGTACACAATGTCCAGATAAATCTACGACCTAATTCACCTTGATAACCACCTTGCCAATGTGAGCCTGGCCGCTCAAGCGCTTGAACGCCTCTTTCGCCTGCTCGAATGGGAAGACCTTGTCGATCAAAGGCCGCGTAACTTCAGGGTTGGCCGCCATCAGCCTACCAAGATTTTTGAACCTGCATTCACACACGTCAGACATCGGAACATCATGGTGGATGGGGCAAAGGACGCACTGCTCGACGGAGCCGACGTAGATGCCCCGGAGTTTCAGGGACTTGAAGAGTGCGGAGGGAATGATGGACACGGGGGCTTGGCCAGGCTTGGGGATCGTTAAGCAAGGAATGACAGATGCCACTGGCACGTTGGAACACTCACAGCTCCAGCCAGACCGCCCATCACGGTAACCGAGCCTCCCATGCGCACAGACGCGATGCTCTTGTCCAGGGTCGCCTCGCCACCAACCTAACACGCGATCAGCAATGTAGGCAAAAAAGACAACAACTCAATCCCGACGAACCTCGACGACTTGGTCCACGCCACGGCCGTTCGTCAGCCTCATCACCTCCTCCTCCCAGGCGGGTGTCGTCTTGTAGTTGATAACGTGCGCGGCCCCGAGGCGTTTTGCGACCTGCAGCTTCTCGTCGGACGAGGAGGTCACGATGACGCTCGCGCCGGATGCGACGCCGATCTGCAGCGCGAACCTGGAATAAGTGTCAGATATATGCGAAAGAACGGATGGATTGGGCTGGGCTCACGTCGAAACGCTTCCAGTGCCGAGGACGAGAATCGAGTCGCCGGCTTTGAGTGGTGAGAACCCGCCCATGAGGGCGTTGTATGCAGTCACAGCAGCGCATCTGTAAGACCAAAGTGAGCCTGAGAGGCGCGGCGAGAGAACAGAATCCCACTCACGGAAGGGTCGATGCCTCCTCATACGACAAGTGATCGGGGATCTTCACCAGCGTCTGGGCGCACAGTCAGATGAGCTTGACTCGGCAGCGACATTAGATGGAGACATACGTGCGTAGGGTACGTCCGGTACTCCGTCAACGTGCCATGCACCGGCGCGCCAAGCGCGCTGGCCTTCAAATCCGTCGTGATAACGTCTCCATGCAGCGTGTCCACGAAGTTGGGACTGACGCGGTCCCCGATCTTGAAGTCCGTCACGCCAGGGCCGAGCGCCACGATCTCGCCCGCGACATCCGAACACGGTACCAGGTCTGGAATACAGCTATGGTGGCACATGAGCGGGCGAGTTTGCTGGAGTACAGTGTGTTCCTCACCCGCCAGGGTACGTGTTGTTGATCACCATGAGGTCGCGGAATTGGACAGATACGGCGTGCGCCTTGAGGAGGATCTCGCCCGCCTTGGGCTGGGGGACAGACGTCTCGGTGATGATGAGGTTGTCGATCGAGCCAGTCTGGAGGGAATGTGAGTGGCCGCCCAGCACATTCTATGCAGGCGAGA